GTTTGATGCCTATGGACACAAGGATCGACGAACCTCGTGCCATATTCTTGCACCGTTAGTTGCCGACAGGAGAAGCGTGTGCTGCAACGATTAAGCCCCCGCAATGCGCCATGTTTTTGTTGTGCTCCATCCTCCGAAGTTGCAGGGAATGCAGGTTCAACTTCACGCAGTCATATTGGCCCTGTTTGAACAGTAGCTGCCGCAAGATGCGTTCTTTGTCAATTTTTTCAAACAGTTCTGCAAGCTGATGTGTCATCTTGCTGCGTAGGCTCCAGGAGCGCGCGAGAACTCGCCTGCAACAGCTTCAGCGCGATGCGCAAGCTCAGCAGGCCACTTTGGCCATAAATGAAAGCTAGTGCATCGACGCACGGCCTCAAAGTATGCTGTGCGGTATGCCGCTCTCGGCGCAATTACTCTTGGAGCTTTCTGTGTGCAGGCTGCCTCCGATGCAATGCTCCGATCTGTGCATCAGGGGATTGGAAGGTATTGGCCCTGGCCATGTTTTTGCGGCACTGCTTTTGCTGTGAGAGGACTCACTTTAGTATAAGGTCACTGGCCGAGATTCATAAGCTGGAGATGGAGGCTGTGGCCCCCACAAGCTTAGCGGGGTGGGGGTGAAGATTTTGTTCCAGGCTGTGTGTGTGTGTGTGTGTGTGTGTGTGTGTGTGTGTGTGTGTGTGTGTGTGTTTTTGCGCCTTTGCATCTTAGATGTTGCAGGCTGAAGCTTCGATGGCCCAAATCGTTCAGAGCGAGGCAACTTGGGGTCTCAGCAATTGAGTTGATCTTGGAACATCTTGCAACCATAAGTCTGACGTCGTGAGGCATGTCGTAGTACTCGAGTGCTGAGCATCCCGAACCCTTCCACTGTTTACACCGAAGACTGATGATAACACTTTTATGCATCTCGAAACTTAGAATGGCTCTTAGCATCCTCTCTTCATGGGATTCCTTGCGGCTGTGAGCGAGGAAGCTGAATTGGCTGAGTTGGGAGTGTCAGCGTCTGCATGTTTGCAGTGCGCCGAAGTGGATTCCTACAAATGCAGCAATTACTTGCGCGCGCGCTCTTCCGACATTTGCAATTTGTGAAACACTGCGGCGCCGCTGAATGTTGAGCTAGAAAATGAACAAGGACCAGAGATTAGTGAAGGAGCGACTGGGCCACACCACGAGGTGACCTCACAGCATGGAAAGCTTTGGCCCATGGTCAGCCGGAATTTTTCCCACTCCCTCCCATCAGGTGGCCTACTTGTATAGTGCCTGTTGCCCTTCGACCTACACTGACCTACCTGCTTGGAGACACTGCTCTTTGAGTTGGCATATCACACTTTGAACCATGGCTGCGCACGACAATGTGTGACACAAGCAAACAGAAGACAGACTTGCCGTCGATTTCAAAATGAGTGTTTATGGGAGCCTTGGCATTCACTGGTTCAATCCGGCCCGGTGTGTCTGCAATCCTGTCCACGGCCCGAAAGAGCAAGGAGGGTCAAGGATGGGGTCACGGAGCACAATGTGCAGATGGGCGAGCCTCTAGGGGGTCACAGCAACAGGCGAACCATAGATGGCAGGGGAGGGAGCCTAGGAACCGAAAGAAAGATCTGGGGACGTTTTAACATTGCGTGTCGCAGGGTCACGATGACGGCCGGTTTGAAATGGAGCTGTTGAGAACTTTGCATGGTTGGTTCCTCTCGGCTTGCCTGTGCCTCACGTTGATGCTTAGCGTTGTAGTTGCTCGTGTAACACTGAGCACCACGAGTTGACCCAAACCCTAAACCCTAAACCCTGAACCCTGAACCCTAAACCCTAAGCCCTGCCACCAGGTCAATCGTGCCATGGAGATTGCAGACGCCCGCATGGATCTTGTGCGGCAATCTGCGCAGGCCAGGTTGGCACTGGGGATGTCCACACCCCGTAGCTTCACCTGCCACGTTGAACGTAGATCCTGTTGCTTATAGAGGCCATGGAGCGCCGCGTCTCTGACACAGTGGAGGCTAGGATGGGCAGCTGGCACACTGGCGCGCTGCAGAAGTTGTAAGCGCTTGAGAGGTCTTGAGCCCTGCCTCAGGTGCTCCTGTCTTTGCTGAAGTACTTCCGCTCGAAAGGTAGCTATGGAGAGCATGTGGTGCCCTTCTAAGAAACCGTTGGAATGCAGAACAGAGGCCACTCGCTGTTGTTCATGTCCATTGCAGTACGTTGACACATGTTGAATTTGACTGTCATGATATTCCCTTGAGCTGCAGGATCTTTAAACCTTAGATTGCAGTCCTGTGCAGTTTCGGAAACTGAGAGATTCCGAGATATTCCCGCTTTGCCTGCGCTTTGCCCAGGCCACCGCGCGCGCACGGCCACGCCAAGGCCCCACAGAGGCATCGGTTTTGCCTGACATCCACCATGCTCGTTCCCGGTACTCTAAACCCTGAACCTTAAACCCTAAACCCCTGAACCCTAAACCCCTAAACCCCTAAACCCCCAAACCCCTAAACCCCTAAACCCTAAACCTAAATCCCTAAACCCCAAGAGGCAGTAAGAGTTGAGATGGACGCAATGCAGGTTAAAGCATCCCATGCGGTTCATATCCAGGTCAACATACGCACAAGCCTCCTTCCGACACATCGGCTCATTGTTAAACGTTTTGTTTACTTGCTCCAAAGTTTAGACGAACGAGGAGCGCCGCAATCTCAAAATGCGACGCAGATTGCAGGACATGGCAGAAAGACTCATATCGTTGCAGGATGCCTCGCGGCCTCTTCCTGTCATCTGCGAAGTCGGCAAGGCCGAGAGGGAGATCAGAAGCCACTTAAGGTGCTACAATATGGCACAAAGACTTGTCAAGTATGAGGTGAAGACCGCCCAGCCACAGATACCAGAGGAGCCAGAGGAAGGTAGCGGTGCGGTCCCCATCAAGAGCTCCTTGTGCAACAAGGAGTGCAGCTTTCACTGCTTCCTGGCCGACTGTCACTGTGACGTCGCTATGAGGCTTGCCCAACCCCGCCGAGCCATGGCTCGCAGAGGCCAAAAGAAGACTGCACAACAGAAGGGACTATCTGCTGCGTGTGTGTGTGTGTGGTGTATATGTAAGATGTATTCTGAACCGTTTTGCGAGGAAACGCGCCCGCTGCTCAATGGGAGGCCTTGCCTTGGCTCCGTGCGTAGGGGCATGGCTTGGGGGAGTTTCATTTTGCGAGGTGTTCATGTGCGGATCGATGCCTGTTTTGCATACGTACCGAACGAAGAACGGAGGCGTTTGCTCATTCCACGGCGGCGGGCGGTTCCCGAGGCTACCCGTATCTCAGCAGGGCATTGCGTGATAATGCATGTTGGGATGCTTCTGCCCGGGTGTGTGTGTGTGTGTGTGGTCAGGGTGGGCAAGATGACTCGGCAAGTCGCAGCCCATCACCCAGGGTTTGCAACCAGCCTGCCAGACTTCATTAATCTTCATTACCCAGTTGCCGGATGATCCACCGCCGGCAGGTTCGAGCAGTGCTTCCAGCAGCAGGGAGGAGCCGAGGGAGGTGTGTCTGTACTCGCTTGCACCTTCTTGACAATTTGTGCCCTTGCCGCTCGTGCATTTTTGCGGCAAATCTTCGGCAGCCAGGCTAACCCTGAGAAAACCAGCTCGGCTGACCCCGCGAATGAAGGCACCGGTATGCCGCTTCGGTTTCAGAATGTCCTCGCTCTGATTTACCATGCAACTGGTAGCAGGAGTGGGGAGTGAGTCTTCGGAATCACAGTTTTTTGCTTAAGCTTTATCTGCATCTTAATGGAACGATCGTGGTGTGGGAAGCTACGTGCGAGATGAGTTGGGATTTTGCCAAGAGTATATGATGTGAGCAACACACCCTAAACCTTGAAACCCTAAAACCCTAGAGCCCTAACCAGCCTGACCCCCTAAACCCCCTAAACTCCACAACCCCCCCCCCCCCCTAAGTTGCGAAACGAACTCCTCTTCCTTAAGCTCTGTCGGGAGGCCATCAGCCGAACCAGAGTGCCCCAGGGCCAAGGCAGGAGCTGCCTTTTTTGAGCTGCCCGTTGAACTCGACCCCCCCCCCCCCCCCCCAAAAAAAAAAAAATGAAACTGAGATGCGACTAGATCTTATGGGTATGAAAGAATCAGAGTTGCTTTTGACAACATATACTACACGGCATATATTCTGACAACCATCATGTTGTGCTACTTGATTCAATTCTATCCCCGCACCCAAATGCGGAGCCGCTTCTACTCATTGGCACACCCTGCGTTACTCCTTACAACTTCTTGTTGCTCCTACTACTGCTCTGTCCGGAGGACTCCCTCTACACAGTCCGAAGCAGCCTGGAGTCGCGGTGGTGTTTGCCTGGAGCCTATGCCGATGCAGAGATGTGGGTAAGTTGATATCACGGCCTCCTGGCCATGCGAATTGAACTCCCATGCTGCCGCTTTGAACTTTGAACATCTCAAGGGCTCTCCATTTCTGGAGGGCCTTTGAAAAAGGGAAAGTCGTGCATAGTGGTTTTGGGCCCCTGGCCCTGGGTGCAGACTGCGTGAACTGCGAGTGACGGATCGTGCTCCCAGGTGTCCCTCGTGCCATGATGGAGCGGCACCCGCTCTTTGCAACACGCCTCTGCTACAGGCCGCGTGCAGAGCATTATGCTCCACGTCCAAATAGTGGAAGGCTTTATGGGTGGCCTGTGCTCCCGTGAGCCAGAGAGAAGAAAACTGCGACCCGGTGGTGCTCATGATGTCTGCTTTCAGGGACGGCGGGGCGACCCGGTAACGTTCACGGTTCGCTTCTGGGCGGGGTGACCCACTCATGCACTTGGTACTGGCTTCCGTAGGCGGTAGTAGAGTTCGTCTCCCAAGCTGCGCATTTCAAGTATACAATACCTTGGAAACACCCACCATCCTCATCTGCGACATTCTGCGATGAAATGTGCAGGTCCGAGGACTTCTTCTTTTCATGGGCATCCAGTGCAGATTTTCGTGCTGAGGCAGAATCCAGATCCCAGCTTTGCAGCGCTTTGAGCTGCATGCATGGGGAGCGCGCAATCTGCCAGGCAGATGCCTTGCGGCAGTGGCGCCGAACGATGACACTCAGCGCCGAGCGTAGCGGTGTCACTGGAGGCGAAAATGGAGTGACATGAAGTAGCAGGAAGTGACCATGCGGCCGTGGCATGCCATTGCATTGAGTCCATACATGCCTTGTCAGCTTCGCCCTCCACAAGTCACGCCGAGCCGGAAGAGGCTGGCCCAGAAGACTGTGGGGAGACACGATTAAAACAGGTTTGATGGCGGCCAGTGGTCTTTCTTCTGCCTCGGAATAAGCTTGCCGCGTCTTTCTTAGATCCGTGAGTTTTCACTATACTTGACCGAAAGAGTTAAGTAAAACTCCCGGCCTCGTGAAAACATGTAACCGTGCCGGCAGGATGCACAAGGGTTCGCGGAAGAGCTATCTCTCCGCGGAACCTGCGCGGAAGCGTGGCTTTGAAGCGAAGTAAACATCACTGCGTGCTGCCGGTTCTACGATGTTCTGCGTTCAAGCAGCCAAACCAGAGCACGGCAATTTCCAAGCGGCACATCAAACACAGTAACTTTAGCAAGTCCCTCTCAGATCCACCCGATCGTTTGTTCATTGTGTTGAAGCACACGCAGTGTGTGTAGGCACAAGCACACAGCGTCGACCGCCGAAGCCGTGTCGACGCTCCAGCCGCCCAAGCCTCCCCTGCGCCGGCCCTGAGTCGGCGGACTGCGCCTCCTGTGCGCATACCGGCGCGAGTCGCAAGAATCCCGCCGTTTCGGCACTTGTGGCTTCTAGCTTTCTCCCTGCAACCTCAAACGGCCCCGGATGAGTGAGTCCCTGAACCACGAGTCGAAGCGTCGCAGTACTGCGTGCACCAGTCCCAAGCGGCAAAAAGTGATTGGTGCAACGTGCGCACCAAAAAGGACAACTGGCAAATGGTGAGCCTTAAATAAGAGGGTCCAGGTTTTGTGTCGTTTGTGTCGCACTTCTCATTTAATTTAGGGATCATGGGATTTAGAGTTGGGGCTTGGGCACGCTAAGCCCATCCAAGCCCTGAACGTCAGCCCCGACCCCTAAATTCTGCCAGACTGTCAGAAGACGACGCACGGACCAGGTTTAGGGTTTAGGGTTTAGGGTTTAGCACTTCTTTCAAGCGCTTGTCAGCTGGTGCCCAGAATTTCTCTGTCACAGGCTCGGCCACATGGGTCTGGATTTATTGGAACGGAAGCTTGGCTTGATCGAGCATCGCAGGAACATTCAACCCTGAACCGTAAACCCTAAACCCTGAACCCTAAACCCTAAACCCTAAACCCCAAACCCTAAACCCTAAAAGTATAAGTTGCACAGAGAGCTCAAGAGAGCCTCGGAGCAGCAGAGGGCGAGGAGGCACGATGCACTGCCGGTTCTTTCCCCAACCTCATAGCTTTGCTACAGGTGGGGTCGAAGGCTCCTGCCGAACTATATGTGTGTAGGGTTTTAGGGTTTTAGGGTTTTAGGGTTTTAGGGTTTTAGGGTTTTAGGGTTTTAGGGTTTTAGGGTTTTAGGGTTTTAGGGTTTTAGGGTTTTCGGGTTTTAGGGTTTTAGGGTTTTGGGGTTTTAGTAGGTTTTTTTAGGGTTTAATTAGGGTTTAATTAGGGTTTAGGGATATGCATATCCGTTCACAACAATGTCATGCGGAAACAGAGATTCACACAACAAAACCCTGTCGTCGCGCCCATGAGGAAAGCTCGGAGGACACTGGCAGATCCAACCCATCTTCGGATGCTGATTGAAAGCTGTTTCGTTGAAAGCTTCCCAGGTTCTGTCCAAAGTTGTATTCCAGCGCGATACACAATGAATGCATTTCATGAGATGGCTTTCTGCCAGACCCTGGAGAAGCGGACAAGTTATCTCCTGTTTCATCCCGTGGACCTTAGTTAAACCAAAGGTTCAAGGGATTTAGAGCTCAAAGTGCTGCACGAGCATGCGTCGGGCACTCCGGGTGGAGTGCCCCCGCACATAACACATGCAATGAAACTCATACTCACCAATTGTCAAGCGTGTTTAAGGATGCTTTATAGACACTTGTCGCGCATTTTCCTGAGGAGGTTGAACTGGTTTCTTGCAGCATGTCGAACACATCTGCCCCCGAAACATCCGAACCTTAGAACCCCCCCACAGACTGTGGACACGCTAGAAGAAGGAAAAGTTATTGTTGACCACTGTAGTACTCAGTACATCGACTCAGATTGCAAGACCAGGAGCACGCTGCACATGAGTCACAAGCACTCCGCATGTGCCAAGCTGCCCAAGGAGCATTCCCTCGGATCAAAGAAAAGACGAGAACAACAGACAGGCAGGTATGAAAGGCAACATGAAGGACTGCAAGCGGAAGTGCTCGGCCTAGCATCTGATGAGCTCACGTTGTTTGGCCCCGATCGAGGCTTGGTTTGGGCAGCGCATTCCCCCTTGCCACCCTTGCAATATCGCCCTCCAAGATTGCGTCAGGGTTGCAATCGAGCCGAGCCAAGAGGTGTAGGGGATGTTCAATGATCTCGGATACGTCGCCCATGGAGCAGTTCAGAGCTGATGGTAGACAGGCTGCAAAGTTCATTCGAAGCTTCCAGGGGCGCCCTGAAGCCTTGCCGTCAATCCTGCGACGGCTGGACGATGCGAATGTTGAGCTCTCAGCCTGGCATTACAACATGGCAATATCAAAGTGCCGAGGTGCAGACTCGTGGCCATTTGTCTTCGAGATCTTGGAGGACATGACTCGCGTTCAGTCGCCAGATATTGTCAGCTATACCAGCGCCATCGCTGCGTGTGGCAGAGGCGGGCAGTGGCAGCTAGCGTTGCAGCTTCTGTGCTTGCTTCCGGCCCGAAGCATCATGCCAAATGTCATCACCTTCAACAGCACCATCAACGCGGCGGAGAAGGCAGGAGAGTGGCAGGTGGCGCTTGAATTGCTCTCAGGCATGGAGGCATCGGCTGTGGTGCCAAACTTGATCAGCTACAACAGTGCCATCAGCGCCTGCCACAAAGGCAGGCAGTGGTACTTCGCACTTTGCTTTCTACAGCTAATGCCAAGCTGGAGCGTGTGGCCGGACGCCATTAGCTACAACGGTGCGATAAGCGCATGTGGCCATGGGGAACATTGGCACGTCGGGCTAAACCTCCTCTGTGGCATGCCCTTGGCTGGCATCGTACCCGACGTGATCTCATATAGCAGTGCCATCCGAGCCTGTGGCAACTGCGCGAAGTGGCAGATCGCGGTGCAGCTACTAGAGGACATGTTTTCGGAGAAGATTCCGCCCAACTTGATAACTTACAACAGCATGATGCTCGCGTGTGAGAAATCACGGCAATGGCAACTGGCACTATGCTTGATGGACCATCTGGAAACCGGCACAACGGCTCCAGACAAGATCTCATACTGCTGTGCCATCAGCGCTTGCGTCCACTGGCAAGCTGCTCTACGACTGTTCTCCAAAATGGTTGCAGACACGGTCAGGGCAGACATTCTTTGTGTCAGTGCCGTCATCAGCGTGTGCAAGCAGAACAGGAACTGGGCAGCGGCCCTTTGGACATTCCGTGAGGCCGGTGCGTGCGCACCCGGCCTCGATGCCAGGCTGTACAATAGCATGTGTAGTGCTTGTGACGTGAGTGGAGGCTGGCAAACCGGCCTAAACCTCCTCAAGGATCACGTTCATCACGTTCACCACATCCGGCCGGATGTTATTACCTACAATAGCATCTTGGGGGGTTGCGTGCCGTACTCGAAGTGGCCATCCTCCTGTGAGCTTCTGTCAGAGATGCGTGCAGCTGTCCTTCAACCGGACATCATCACTTCCAACAGTGCGATCGCTTCATGCACCGACTGGGAAGTTGCACTTCACCTGCTGTGTTCAGCCGAAGCAGCCAGAACTGCGCCTGATGTCATCTCCTACGGCAGCCTCATGGTGACATGCTACGACTGGCAAATCATGCTGCAATTGCTGCATGGAATCCAGGAATCCAGGCTTCAACCCAACGTGATCACATACAACAGTGCCATCGGCATGTGTGAAAAGACTGGTCGATGGGCACTGGCAGTATTCTTGCTGAAGGAAATGCCTTCCAAGCACTTGGTGCCGGATGCAGCTACCTGCAGCAGCGTTATCACTGCATGTGGGAAGGCCGCACAGTGGCAAGCTGCTGTTCTCCTACTGGCTGGGATGCCTGCAGCGCGGATACAGCGCAATGCCATTACGCTGAGTAGTGCCATCAGTGCCTGTGCTGAGTTGGGTCGCTGGCCTCTTGCTCTCCAACTTCTTCGAGACATGTTGCAAGATACAATCCGCCCTGAAGTTATCACTTACAACAGCACAATCACTGCATGCGAGAGAGCAGGCTGCTGGGATATTGCAGTCCTGCTTCTATCTTGTATGCGCCAAGACCAGACAGCGCCAAACATCATCAGCTATTGTGGCATCATCGCCGCTTGCGACAGGGGAAGTGAGTGGCAACTGGCGTGCCAACTTCTTGGGGACTCCTGGGCAAGAAGAGTGTCTGTGACTTCCATAGCGTACAATAGCACAATTAATGCATGTGAAAAGTCGCTCCAGCCGAAGCTGGCACCGTGGCTGATTGGTAGCCTTCAAGCGGACTGCGTGCAGGGGCATGCAGGATGCGAGGAAGTCTTCAAAAGATGTTCGATGGTCAGCTATCTCAGCTGACCAAGATAGCCCTGGATCGGTGTAGCAGGTTTCATTTTGCTCATGCAAGCATACAGGGGCAACGATGCTTGAAGAATCTCTTCATTCGGAGCAGCCTATCAGTAGAGGGAGGTGCAGTGAGCCAGATCAGCGAGTCGCTCCGAAGGTTAGGGCCATTCAGAAACCGGCAGTAGCCACCACTCTGATAGGTCCGGAGTATGCTAACCTTGGATCTATGCATCCTCAGCTGTCATGCTCCCAGGTAGTGTAGCTTCCCATCATGCTCTTTGAGAAGGAGCTCTCGGAGCTTCATGCCGTCATGTCGCAAGCCTCGTCAGCCCAGCTCGCTGTGGGCTCTTCAGTTGCTAGAGTCAGCTCCCAACCAGCCAAGGAGACTTCCTGGCAGAAGGTTCTGTGCACCTTGGGTTCCATGCACCAGAAACGCCTGCCAGACACCTCAAGCTGCGGCCGCGCGATGGCGGCATGCCGCCGGAATGGAAAGTGGCATCAAGCGCTGCAATTGCTGGGCGGCAGGCCTCCACATCTGATCGCCTACACCAATGCCATTGCTGCGCTAGAGAAGCATGGGCTGTGGCGCCTGGCAGTTCATTTGTTGGCCGAGATGGTTGCTGCAGAGGTTGTGCCAGACGAAATCGCATACAACAGCACAATCAGCGCATGTGAGAAAGGGTTGCAATGGCAGCTTGCAGTACATCTTTTGGCACATATGCCCAGTAGAGGCCTTACACCAGACGTCGTAAGCTTTAGCAGTGCCATCAGTGCCTGCGAGAAAGTGGGCCAATGGCAGTTTGCCCTCGGTGTTTTTGTAGAGATGTGTGAATCTCAAGTTGAGCCAGATGTCATCAGCTTCAATAGCACCATCAGCGCATGTGAGAAAGGTGGACGCTGGCAGGAAGCTCTTCATCTCTTCGCCGACATCTCAGTGATGATGTGCCTGCCGGATGTGATCAGCTACAGTAGTACCATCAGCGCATCACAAAAGGGCGGCTACTGGAAGGTTGCTGTCCACCTTCTAGCAGCCATGATTGTTGCAGAGCTGGTGCCTGATGTCATCACATGTAACAGTACAATCAGTGCTTGCGAAAAAGGCGGTGAATGGCAGGTGGCCTTTGGACTCTTGGAGCAGATGCCCTCACTCAACGTTGTGCCGAATGTGATTAGTTTCAACAGCGCCATAACTACTTGCGTCGCGCGTGGTCGCTGGCAAATTGCGCTGCAAGTTGTTGAGGACATGTCTGAAGCAAGCTTCACACCAGACGGGACAAGTTACAACAGTATCCTCTCAGCTTGTGAGAAGGGTCGGCAGTGGCAGATGGTGTTGTGCCTGTTGACAACGATGCCGCTAATGCGGTTGCATCCAGACGTTGTGAGCTACAGTGCTGCGATCAGCGCTTGCCAGAATGGACAGTGGAAGACTGCTATACGGCTTGTGGAAAGCATGGCGAATGCTGATCTTACGGGTGATGTCATCTGCTACAATAGCATCATCAGTGCTCTAGAGTCGGTTGGCCAGTGGTTGCTGACGCTGCGTGTGCTGCAGCAGATGGCTTCTTGCGCAGTCACGCCGAATGCAATCAGCCTCAGCACCGCCGTCAGCGCTTGCAAGAGGAGGTGGCAGCTCTCTCTGAGAATTCTGTCTCAGTTGCCGTCTCGAAAAGTTTTCCCAAGAGAAGGCTACAACAGTGCCATCCAGGCGTGCGAACGAGCTTGTCAGTGGCGTTTGCCAGTACGATTGCTAGCAGACATGCCTGCATCTGGAGTGGAGCCAGATGTCATTAGCTTCAACAGTACCATCAGTGCATGTGAGCGCGCGAGCCAGCCACAAATTACGCTCCAGGTCTTGATGCAGTTGCAGGAGGAGTACCAGGGTCTTTGCAGGGCAGCACATGCTGCGGCTCTCTCTGACCATGAGCCGGTTTCGGGCAAACCCAGGCATGATTAATTCAACCGAAGGCAGAAGGGATGCCGAAAATCGACTGGTTGCTCAAGGGGGAGTTGTCGGATTCTGCTCTGGTTGATCAAACTGCGAGGCCCGAGCCCACGTTCCGCAGGCATTCCTGCAGTCGAGACATTGTAGAAGCACATCCAGACACTTCCACTTGGTCATGAATTCGGCGATTGGAAAGGACCCGAAGGCTAAACGCTTGGCGAAATGGTGCGAACCCAAGGCAGCCGTGGAGCACATCCGCAGATGCCAATCGAAGCAAGGCACCCCCATGTTGTTGGAGGAGATGAGGGCGCTTGCCGTCCGGTTGACCTTGCAACACTACCATGCGGCAGCTTTGCATAAGCTCAATGGTTCAAGGGGTGCTCTGGATCATGCACATGATGCAGAGAGACCATCTTGCACCAGACAATCTTCTCTATACTGTCGTGCTATTGGCCCTTGCCGCTCGGCCGGCCGCTGGCATCCGCTGGCAGTTAGTTTCCGAGCTCCTCACGGAAATGAGGGCCAAGAGTGTCACTCCGAATGTCAAGGTTTACAGCAGCGCTGTGGCCACCTTGGCAAGATCGGGGTTGTGGCAGTTGGCAGTTGACCTGCTCAGACAGATGGCTGCAGCACGTGGGCTCCCGGATGTGATTGCGTACAACAGCACCATCAGCGTCTGTGAGAAGAGCCTACAGTGGCGATGTGCGATCGGGCTTCTAGCTGACATGTGCAGTAGTGCACTCGTGCCATAAGATGCAGCAGTGTCATCAGTGCCTGCGAGAAAGCTCAGCAGTTGCAAGTTGCCGTCCAAGCATTCGAGGACATGATTCTAAGCCAGGTCGCCCGGTCGCCCCCGATGTATTTAACTTCAATAGCTGCATATGTGCGTGTCAGAAAGCGCTTTCATTGCACTTCTTGGCCTTCATGCCTGAGGCCAGGCTCTCGCCCAGTGTCGTAAGCTTCAGCAGTGCCATCTCTGCATGCGAGAGCAGTGGAGACTGGAGGCTTTCTCTTCATCTACTTGACAAGATGTTGGTGGCCAAAACAGCTAAAAAAATGTCTTCAGTTTTAGCAGTGCCATCGCTGCTCTGGAGAGGCACACCAATTGGCAAAGAGCCATGATTCTACCACTGAGTGACATGGTCCTGGCGCGGGTCGTTCCTAACACCGTATCCTACAACAGCCTCATCAGCGCCTGCGGGACGGGTTTCCAGTGGGAACTCGCGCTCCACGTCCTGGGAGACATGAGGGCTCCCAAGGACCGCCTGAGCTTCAGCAGTGCCATCACCGCGTGCGAGAAGGTCGGACGATGGGTCATCGCTTTGTCCTTGTTGGTGCAGCTGTCTATCCTGCAACGACCGGACGCAATAGCTTACAACAGCGCAGTTAGCGTCTGTGAAAATGCAGGGCAGTGGAAACAGGCCGGGCAGCTTCTGGTCTGCATGCGGGCATCAAGGGTGATGCCAACTGTGGTGACATACAGTGCCGTCATAAGCGCCTGTGCGAAGGCACAGCAGTGGCAATGGGCTCTTCATTGGCTGACATGCGCATGCCCGACGACATGGTCAACCCCAACATCATCAGCTTCAACAGCGCCATCAAGGCCTCTGTTCTTGGGCTTCTCACGTCTACGAGCTGACACGACCACGACTGTCCCCTTTTTGCTCGTTTGTTTTCCCTCAATCCTCTATCCTCACAGGCCCGGCAAAAAAAACCCCAAATGAGGGAGTGAACTCGGGAGGCCTGCAGCGACAGCTTGCAATGGAAGAGAGCGCTGCAAGTGTTTCCACAGGGCGAGACGATCCCCGATTCGCTCAGCCACTCGGGAAAACCAGGATTACGATCATAATATTATAGCAGCAGTCTGCAGGACTCCGATGGAATTTGTCTCGCTCTTTTCTGCCCTCCCCATCTCAGGCTATTCCTTTACAGTCGCAGCCTGTGAGATGGGAGACCAGGCCTGGCCGCAGAACTGCTGGGCCAAGCGCAGCGGAAGTACCAGACCCTCTCAGAAATTCTTTTGACAAAAAGGCAAAGTGCTTATGCCACGCGCTGCTTCTCGTGGTTTTATGTGCTCTGAGCTCATGGCACCGATAAGGCGCAGTTCCTGACGAATTGGGTTGTTCATGGTTGTTCAGCTACTGGCCCCTTGCTTTGTTAGGTAAATTGAGCTTGGGGAAGAAATAGACATTGAATAGATTCATCGAGGAGAGCTCTCGATACTTTCAACTCAAGCCTGCTCCCTCAACCCGGCCTGGTCTAGCCCCTCCCTCCACCCTCCATTCTCCCCCCTCCCTCCACCCCTCCACCCTCCACCCCCCCTCCCTCCACCCCTCCATTCTCCACCCCCTCCATCCTCCACCCCTCCACCCTCCACCGTATGCAACGTATGAAAGGGGCAGGCCATGGCGACTTGGCAGCGCGGGGTCCTGACATGTGTGGTGGTCATGTCCCTGGTACCCCAGATGCAATTCGCACAGCTTCCGAATTTTTTTTGAAAGGCCAGCTAGGGAGGGACGGATTCCGTACATATAGGGGACAGACATAGAGTCATAGAGTGTAGGGGCCTTGAGGATCCTGGCTTCAGTGTTTCGAGCGACTTTCGGCCCTTGAAGTGCAAAGGAAGCCCTGGGCTCACAGGGGTCCCTAAACCCTAAGCCCTAAATCCTAAACCCTAAACCCTCAACCCTCAACCCTCAACCCTCAACCCTCAACCCTCAACCCTCAACCCTCAACCCTCAACCCTCAACCCTATACGGGGGGCAACCGAAGGGGGACGAGAAACCAAACAGTCAACCCCAACAGAAACCCTTGATTCCCCTGGAACAACCAACAACAAAACCCAAAGAACAACCAAACACACCTTTTCTGTAGGGCGCATTGCCCAGGGTCTTGAGCCTTGAGCCAAACATGATTTCCGGGTTTATTAACCCTTTCAACTCCCAACACTAACTCTTTTCTACAATACCAGCAGCAGCTCCGCACTCCCCCTGTCCTAGGATTTCCTAGGACACATTGGAGGTGCAGATCCTTGGCCAAAAACCACCGTTTAGGCAGCAGCCAGCTGCTTGAAATGCACATTATGGTTTAACGTCTTCCAGGACGACCCTTCAGCTCATTGGCCGAATCCCTTACCACTGAGGATTTCTTCACCTCGAACTTGAAAAAGTTTACGTTCCAGCGGCCCGTTCCTCACCAAGGAACTCAGCATTCACCACCCAGCCATCCTTGAGGCAATGCTTGCAAAGCGTCTTAGCCCTGGGCTGTGAATATCGCAGAACATCACAGTCACTGCTTGCGTGCATACAGTTCCCACCCACTGTTGTATACAAAGTGGCACTCGCAGGAATAACCACCACTTTCTTGATCCACAGCCATTTGTACAGCCGCCGAAAGAGGCACCATGCCAATTCCCAGAGTATGATTGCTGCCACCAAATACGCAACAAGGTCTGAATTGTTGATAACCATTTCAATACCTTGAGCCAGAACCATAACCGTAGATGTATTGGCGACCTGGCACACCCCTTCTTCTGAGCAAAAGAAACCAGCAGCTGACACTTCTTCTCCACCTGTTGCCATCCCTTGCAGGGATGCAGCCACCATCATGACCGCCATTGCAAGAGAGGCCCTTTTCAAGTCAGTTCCTTGCACTAACAGTTGGAGACCCCAAAGTGCCTTTTGCTTTGCATAAACCTGTCCACTCATCAATTTTGTCAACAGATCAGCAATCATATACTCACCACGAAGATGCGCTATCACCATGTAACCACGGTCCACCAGAGACCTGACACCAGCTGCTCGAATTCTCAGGTGTCTTGTTCTCCAGCTACCAGCAGGATATTGAATGATTGAGCACGTCGAAACCGAATCTGTATACAGCACTTTTTGCAGCGATTCTTCACCTGTTCCAACCAAAGCGGCAATTATAGGGGTGCACGACTGAATCATCGTTGCTCCCTCTATGGACGCATGTAATTCAGCTTCAGCAGTACTTAACGCCACGGTTGATTGTCTCTGTGTTGCCCACATCACCGGACAATCACCCCAAACTACCACCGCTCCTGAGTGGCTCTTTTCATTTTCACCTGCTGCAAAGCTGGCATCCGCGTAAGACTCCACCACCTTGACGCCTCGCCCATAACGCAACACCTCATTCCTTTCTTTTTCGCATGTTGCGATTGCACCAAACGTCAGGCCTAACGTTGGAGTTGCAGCAAGGTATCGAAATACCTCCTCAGCCTTTTTAACCACAAATCGCGGCCTTCGGGATGTCCACAAAGACAACTGGCTTGTGCAGAAAGCCAAATCAGGTCGAGTTTTGATTGCCACCCAGAGGAACTCCCCTACGGCACCTTGAGCCGCTCGCAAGGAAGGAATATCCACCTCCTCTTCTTCACCTGGAGTTTCTTTCACCATTGGCAGGTTACTACCTTTTCCAGTTTCATCAATCTGATACCCTCTTCGGTTCAGCAAATCTCTCACGAAGTCCTCCTGGTTGAGAAAGAAGCTGCCATTTCGATACCAGATTTGGACACCCAAAAACTTCAGGAATCCATCACCACAGCCTGGACCACAGAACTCGGGTTCAGAAGTTTTCCACGCCTTCCTGATCTGTTCCAAGGCTTCCCGGAGCACTGTCATAGTCCCAGCCATCAAAAAATCATCCACGTAAAGACCTATTGTCCCCACCAACTTGCTTACACCTTCCGGCTTCTCTTGCGCCATACTAAGGAACAGACTTGGGTCTGCATTGGACCTCTGAAAGCTCATTGCTTGTCCATCCTTTGACACCCAAGACATGCCTTGAAGACGTTGGTCTCGCCACTCCACCCATGCTGCAGGACTTTCGGCCAAACCGTACAAGGCCTTCCTCACAATCCACCGCTCCTCTTTTGTGCAAAGACCCAATTTCACCGCCGCCCTTGGGGGCTGCACCACCACCAGACGCCCTTCTCTTTGCGCCCTATTCATCGGCGCCGTCAGAAAAGCTTTGGAAATGTCTAAGCCAGCGATGATCCACACCATATGTGCTGCGTGCCTCACTTGACACCTAAATGTAGTTGAATCTAAACCTGGAGCGTACAGCGAGTGACGACTGAGGGACCTTGGCCCTTCGTATTCTGTAGCTGCCGTTGACGAAATAAAGTTCCCACATGCACAGATACGGGCACGCCTCCTCCCTGTCCCTTGCTTCCGGGTAAACACCACCAGACTGGGAACGTACTCAATCACCGGTGCATTAGGCTCTTCCGCCAATTTGTCCAACTTTTCTTGAGTTGTTGGTTCCACCACCTCCAACTCTTTAACCAAAGACTTCACCTCGTCCGACAATGAATCCCTCCACTTTTCCAGCTCTTGCATGGCTTCTTGTGTAGGAATCGTTTTTGTTTGCAGGAACTCAACCTCCTCTGCTGCCTCCAGCGCGGTATTTTCCTGTACCACCTGCTGAACTTGAGCTGCTTTGACCAAAAACTTCGAGAGCTGTTCCTCAGCCCTTTTTGCTTTAACCAGCCATTCTCTAGTCTCTGATCCTTTTTCCTCATTCGACTCATTGGCCGATCCATGGAACTCGTCCAAAATGCAACATTCCTGTTCAGCAATTAGGCGTCGAATACTCAACTGCTCCTCTAGAGCCCATTGATGCGCTTCGAACACAGCGTAGTCGACTTCCTCTGCAAGGTCTTCCAGCGAGGTTTCTCTCAGCGTCATTTTTAACCATTTCCTTTTTTCACCTTCTTCAGCTTGTGGTTCCGGAAGAGGAAACTTGCATTGGAGAAGATAGCACCTATCCTTGTAGCTCAAACGCTCCATAAAAACAGGTGTGTACCCTGTCAAGGATACCCTGTTCCCTTTCCAAGGCATAGGACCATGCAGTTTTCTCGGAAAGAACGACATGAAGTTCCAGTGGATATCCACCAATTTTCCAGGTAAGACTTTCTTCCCATAGGATTGCTCCACCACTTCAGCTCCTTCCTCCAAAACCTTTTCATCCTCAACCCACAGCTGACCCTCTTTATAGTCACCAAAGCCACACACATAATTGCAGCAATGCTTTTCATTGTGACTATCCCTATGCAATGACACCGGAGCATTGCACGAGATCTGAAGAGCAGAAAATTTGGCTTCAGGATTGTGGTGCCTCACGAATGATGCCAAATAACGACATAGCCATGGCCTTCGATGGGTCTCTTTTGTAATACCACACACTCCGCCATGAGTATAGTGGCCCAACACCAGAGCTCGCGTACTTGTGCGCCAATTGTTGATACCACCTCTCCGATTCACCCTCTTTGGGTATACAATCCCTTCCAAAAGCTCCTCACAGTCCACGTAATCATACATAGACCTTTCATACATTGACTTGGCTTTTTGCTCTTCTTTCTCCAAGTGTGTTCCATCCTCGGCAGTCTCACTTTTGCAGACCAAATAAGCATTTTCATGAGGAGAACAGCATGTCGGCCAATACTCATCACCAGGAACATTGTCCTCAACATCTGCATTTTCTTCCAGCTCCCCCAAACCCTGCACGTCATCCTCGAAAATTTCTAAGGGCGGACTCTCCCCCCGCTTGCGAAGCAAGCGCAAAGAGCCCACATGACCACGCAGTGAAGAGGCCGGGCTTTTTTCCTTTAACCGATGGTGAGCTGGAGGATCGCGAGGCGGAGGTAAAGGAGGACCTTCCTCATCAGCGAATCGAAGCGCTGGTTTTTTGCCCTTGAGACGATGCTCCGGAGGAGAAGGCTCCTGTTCTTCTACCACCCCTTCCAGCTCCAATGCAGGCGGTTCCTTTACATTGGAAAAAATCGTAGTGCAGGGAAATAACACCAGTTCATCCGGATCTTTTGCAGTCCCTTGAGCTTCCACCCAATAACCACCAGGTAGGTCATCGCATGGGCCCAAAAGAAGCGCGGGCTGCGTACGATCGACCCATTGCCGACCTTTCTTTGTTCCATCCGGACCCAGCAACTCCCACGGACGACGCTTGACTTGAATTTGAGCACCAAAGGGAAGCAATGCTTTCGGTTTCAAACCCAACTCCCTTTCAGCTTTCTGCCACCGTAACATTGACCAATGGCGAGCAGCCAGTGCCCAGTACGCCGGACCGAGTCGCGCCTCCTTTAAGAGCGACCTGACACCACGTTTGAATAGACCTACACATGCTTCAGCGCGCCCATTTGTTTGCGGGACTCCAGGATCACCAGTGGTCCTATATATCAGACGAGTTTCACAAAAGGATCGGAAGCGTGCATTGACAAACTCCCCCGCTCGATCTGAGTGGATTCTCAACACCGGATACCCATGTCTCTGCAAGCGCACCATCATTCTTTGAACCGCCGACAAAACAGTTGTTTGCTGTTTATCCACAATCGGCTCCACCATAACGAAGTTGATCATACGGACAGGTTGGGTCAAATGGTCCTTCAGTTCCTTCCAGGATTTTTCAGAAGCTTGGA